AAGGGGCTGGGGAGTGTTTTGTGGTGGGTACCAAACTTCCTTGCTGTTGCTCATCAGTGCCAATGCCAGCCCACATCTTTGTTGATGCCAGCCTTGACCCCGCTGTCAGTGGCTTGTCTTTGTAACTCAGACCTGCAGCACCCGCTGCCGGTGGAAATGGGGGAGTTGATCTGGGGGGAGCCGGAGCAGCCCGCTGTGTCTGCAGTTGCCCTTCCCTGCTGCTTGATGTTGCAGAGCTGGATGCCACAATAACCCACCGAGGACATGGGAACCGCAGGGGTTTCTGGAGGGCTGGCATTGGCCAGGGGATTTGCAACTGCAGCTGGCAGCTTCCCCTGGAGCTCCCATCAGAGTGGGGCTCGTTGCTAGGGGTGAAATCCTTTATTTTGGCCTTGACAGGAGGTGACCCTGTCCGGAGTCATTTCTCCCACCAGGTTGCCCTGAGGCCATTTCTCCTGGGAGTCACCACCAGATGTTGCCTGTGGACCTCTCTGTTTGGCAGGGCACACAGGAGTGGCTCAGGCAGGGCTGTTTGCTGTTTTCCTCCTTGCACTTATTGAAGTTTGAGATACTTTAATTACTTAGACATAAGTGTTAATTACAATAGAGAAAAGCCCATGGATTATTCTTTCCTCCACCATTGCAATAAGCCCAGGGGACAGAAAGGCCCTCATACATGGGACAGGATCCACCCTGAAGTTCTTGATTCCCTTGGGGTTTTGTGGTGTATTTTTGTGGATTTTTCATAGATAAAATATGTGGTTTGTACCACAATCCAAAGCATGGAGTGAAGCGTGACTTCAGTGAAGGAAAGCAAAAAAATGCTGATGCAAAGCCTTCTAGATGGGAAGATCTTATCCTTCTTTGATTTGGTGTCTGAAATCTCTTACTTTGCAGAAGCTGATGCTGTTGCTGGCTGCAGAAAATTGCCCTCTGTGTCACCAGAGCAGCTCATTGCAGTTAAGGCTGGTGGCACAGGGCCAGCTGGCACCGCACACCCGCAAGGTGCTGCTGGCAGTACTGGTGCCCAGCAGGAGATGGTCCCGAATGGTTAATCCCATCTGCAGCTTCCATAGAAATATGCAAAACCTCCCAGCAGTGATTCAGTAATGATGCTCTCCACGAGTCTGCATCTCTGATTTGAGCTTCCCCATGTCAGCAGTAAACTTCATCAAGCTATGAATTGTGAGACCCCCCGGGAGTCCTGCGTCCAGCTCTGGAGCCCTCAGCTCAGGACAGGCATATGAACCTGTTGGAGCTGGTCCAGAGGAGGCCCCCGCAATGACCCGAAGTCTGGAGCACCCCTGCTGTCCGCTGGAGAAGAGAATGCTCCGGTGAGACTTTATTGCAGCCTTTTAGTACTTAAAGGGGAGTTATAAGAAAGGCTTTTTAGTAGGGTTTGTTGTGATAGGACAAGGGGTAACGGTTTTAAACTGAAAGAGGCTAGATTTAGATTAGATGTAAGAAAGAAGTTCTTTACTGGGAGAGTGGTGAGGAGCTGGCACAGGTTGCCCAGAGAAGCTGTGGCTGCCCCCTCCCTGGAAGGGTTCAAGGCCAGGATGGATAGGACTTTGAGCAGCCTGGTCTAGTGAAAGGTGTCCCTGCCCATGGCAGGGGCTTGGAACGAGATGACCTGTAAGGTCCCTGCCAACCCAAACTGTTGTGTGATACTTTGATTCTATGATTCTATGCCCTGCACAGGCAGCGGATGGCAACCCAGCAAGGGCAGCTCTGGCCCAAGGCATCTACCTCTTAGACAAGGGTGGGAGTGATGAGGAAATTCTTCAAAGACAGTTGGTGAGGTGGAAAGCCTCTTTCGGATGGGGTTTTCCCTGCCTTTCCTGTAAAGACAGCCTACTCCAGGGCCTTGGCTGGGCTGTGAGGTTCTGGTGCCAAAACAAGAGGTAGGGAAAAGAGACAAGATTATCTTTAGAGGTAAGAGGTGATAAACAAACTTCTATCTAAGAGCAAAGGTTGCCAGAGGCAGATTTGAAGCAGTAAAGAGATGTCAGCACTGCGTTATCCTGAACCAATGCCCGGTACTGGTGGTAAGTGACTGTTTCCTGACTTGGGGCTGAAAGCACAAATTCACAAACCCTCAGGCCCTCTGTGCTCCTGCAGTGTCTGGCATCTGCACTGGGCTGGCAGATGCAATCCAGGACTGTCAGGACCAGTAGCTGATGACCAGTCATCCCATTGCGCTCACATGATACCAGATAATTATCTTGAAGCAGCTGCTGGGAGATGTGATGTGAATGGGGAGATGTCACCACAACTGGTTCTTGTTCTTTTGAGCAAATTCTCTTAGAGGCCAACAATTTTTCCAAGGAGGAACCAAAATCTGTCAAAATGAGTTGGAGATGTGAGACAGCTGCAGAGAGATGGGGAGAGATTTGCAATTCATAGGGAGAGTTTCGCTAGTCCTGGATCTTTTGAATGCAGATTGTGTCAGGATTTCACCCTGAACTCAGTGCCTCACATATTGCAACAGGCCTTCAGATTGCAAGAGAAAGAGTGGAAATGAGGAAGAAGCAATGTTGGTCATCCCAGAAAGCTGCTAAAAGCTGTGATGTCAGTACAGAAGCCAGTCCTCCAGACACCTTTCTCAGCCCCCTGATTTCCAGGACCATGTGCACATCACTGATTTCCAAAGATGGTGGGAGATTTGACCACCAGCTCACTTTCCAGGCACTAGAGAAACCCCAAGATGTATGATTTCAGCCAGCAGCTCCAGTGGTTCATGGGAGATGTGAAATGTCGTGGGATGCTGAGGAGATGCTGAGGAAATTGAGTTAGCCAGAGGTTTGCCTCGATCGCTTTGCAGCCCTTCCCAAGGACTGGGGCAGAAGCAGTTCTGGGTTTCTTTGCAGATGAGCAACTGAGGAAATGAATTTACCAGAAGAGACGTTTTCAACATGCAAACATAAGGTGGAGAAAAGCACCAAGTTTCCACATATTTCTTATTTATATGCTGTTCCAGTCAAACCTTCTGTAATTTCTCATCCTACCTGGAAATAGCTGGTGAGATGCTTTCATATCTGAGAAGGGAGAGAAGCCAATTCTGTGAATTTATTTCCCAAGTGATTTAAAAACAAAGCACAATGCTATGACCAGTCAGCGATGATCCGTGTCTTGGATGGGAGGTTTTCCTTTGAAGTAGGCTGAGAAACTGAAATGGCCAAGTTGCAAGGCTGAAAGCTTCCTCTTGTGTTAGTGGGAAATATGCTGTGGCTGTTCAGACAATGAAGCGAGAACTTGGCAAATTACAGGAAGGAGCAGCTCATAGCCAAGGGCTCAGCAGGGCTGCACTGAGTCACCTTTTCCTCTTACCAGGGGAGGGGAAAATATTGCTCCATGTGCCCATTGCTTTGTGCTCTGCACTACCAGGGCATCGGCCATACCAAGTTCACAGCCCCAGTTAGGTGGGTGTGTGGGGTGGGGGGAACTTTTGTCCCATCTAGCCCTACCCTAAAAAAAATGTTACCTAAAACCAGCATGGGTTTTGATCTCTCAGGAGCAGCTGATGTTGCACACGAGGTCCTGGGCTTCGTGGGAAATGGGCACAGTGGTCCTGATGGGGCTGACAGGAGGAAGGAGCTTTCTCCAGCATTAAAACAATTTCATCTCAGAGTGGGGAGAGTTTTTACCTCTGGCTGGACTCTGCAATGAGCAGTGCCCGCAGGAACAACTGAAAAATGATCAAACCCCACAATCAGCTGAAACGCTTTGAAACCACTAATTGGGTGGAGAAGGCTGCCTAGCAGCAAGAGCTGCTGTAATTTCACCCACTGTGCTTTGGGACTAATCATATTGGCAGAATTAGTGGGTAAGGCATGATCCGTACAGCACTGAGGTGTGAAGGTGGGCGGATTAGAGACTCTTGTTTGGAGGGAGCATCCGTGCAGCAGAACTAGAGAGGGGACCTTCATCCAGATATTCTTCTGTACTTTCAAGCCCTAGAGAGTTAGGCAGGGCACAGTGATGGAGTTCAGTGATAGAATTCAGTGATGGAGAACTTTATGGACAGCTGTTTAAGTGGGTTCCTGAGTATCTGCATCAGCACTAAAGACTCAGAGCATTTTGTCACTCCTGTGGTGGATGTACTGTCCCTGCTTGGGCATTTCTGCTGGGAAAGGCGAAGGGCAATCTGCTTGGTGTGACCTCCCCCCGTCCCCGGTCATGGCGTGACCCCTGGACCTGGACGCCAAGCAAAGGTGGCCTTGTGTCTCCAGATGCACATCATGGCTCTGCGTGCCAGGGGCAGAGGGAGCGGGAGCAGAGCTAGAGGCTGCTGTGCCTCTCCCGGGGCTGCACTCTTCAGGCGTGCAGCGCGGTGCGGTACTGAGTGCTTGTTGCTACAGCATTACGGGGTTGACATTTAGATGTCACAGAATCTGAAATAACCTGTAATTACAGCCCAGTTTTTCTGCCAGGGTTTTCTTCTTTCATAATATTGCATGCAGTGCTTTTGTCTCCTCTCACCATTATCACTGCTATTATCCCCCCAGGATGCCCCTCCAGCACCTCTTCCACCTTGATTACTGTTTTGGGGAACTGCTCATTTGTGTCCCTGCCCCAGGCATATCCCACCCTGCGTGTTGCCCTCGGGATGAGCGCTGGGCTGAGTGATTCAGGTCAGATGTGACGCAGCCCGTGCCCAAAAGGCACATCGGAAGCTGTGTCATTTTTGACACTCAGCACGGGTTCAAGTCATGCTGGTTTTGGCAAAGGCTCAGCTTTGGTTGCCCGCACCACTGTTTTCTCTTACAGCCATCAATTTCTGCGCTGAGTGGGAGACCTGGGAACAGCCGGGACTCTGGGGGCTTCCCCTTCATCGTGCTGCCCTGGAAGTCAATGCCTCCACCCGGCTTTTTGCTCGCCCAGGTGGAATTCCTGGTGGACTGGCCACCCTGGAGCAGGCAGCAGAGCTTGTCGGCGGCAGCAAGGGTGGTGAACCCCGACTCGATGCTGTGGGCGATGCCTTGATGCCTGGAGGGGCCATGGAGCGTGCAGGTGGGTACTGGGCTCGGTGGGAGGGGAAGGGGCACATTGGGCTGCTGCTCCCATGGCTGAGTCCCCTCTCGGTGCCTGCAGCTGTCCTGGAGCCAGCGCTGCTGGTGACGCAGGGCAGGGCAGGGAATCCCTTGGTGTGCAGGATGACAACGTTCATTTTCACAGGCTTTGCAAAGGCACGCTGCCCCGCGCTTGCTTGGCTTCGCTCAAGCCAAACGCCTGCAGCAACGGGGGTTTAAGAGTGAGGGGAAAGTGGCACCCTGAGAGCCTCACAAAGCACCCTTTCCCATGCCGTTGTCCTCTGCAGAGCTGAAAAAATCCCCAGTAGTTTGTTTCGTTACTCTTATCAAATCAGTCCACTCCTTAATACTGCAGAGTGATTTTTTTTTTTTACTATTCATCCTGCGTATCTAAAAGCTCAGCCCTTCCAGGAGCTACTTGGAACAGCATCTGAAGGATGTACCTATTAAAATGTTAATAGAGCAGTTCACAAATAAGGTATACTCAGGAGCAATGACTTAATTTGGGATGCTCCTGGCTGTACAAGGCAGCTGCTGGATGTGGAGGACTAAGCCTGCGGCACGGGGAGGCAACGTTTCATCACGCTTATTTACAGCTCTAAAGAAGAGCAGCTTAGTTCCTCTTTTGTTATTAAACCCCTGTGACCCAAAGCTGATCTCCTCATGCTCTTCTGCATCAGTGAACAACTGCTGCATTAGTCCATCTGTGCAGTATTTTGATTAAAAACCAGCTACGTAATGCTGGCCGAGAGAAGGCGTTGCGGTCACTGGTCCAAAGGGTAACAGATTACCTCCTTCCTTAAGGCTCCAGGGGATGAATCTAGTTTTGCAATGACTCCGTGGTGATATTTCTGGGGAAAGATCAGCAAAATATCACCTATTACTGTATTAAAAATTCTTGCCTTTTTGTTCTTCATCTGGCAAAGCTTAGTGCTGTTGGCAGAAGGATGCTGCCAGAAGCCTGCTCCCCATTGCCTGTGCCACCAGTGGGAAAATTTACTCAGACAGCAGCTACCTGCTTCAGAATTTCAGTTTTTTACACCAGAGCTGGGGGCGGGGGAAGCAAAGCTGAAACTTCCCCATTCCCCTGCACTCGTGCCCCCACTGCAGCTCTGCAGGGAGCTTTGCCATGAAGCTGAACCACTGCAAACACCCGATGTGAGCCGTTTCAGCTACCTGCCATTGGCGAGAGGCCCAGGAATGGCTGGCCCTGGCCAAGCTCCTCATTTGTGATATGTTTTCATCTGTTTGCTAATCTCTGCACAGTGAGAGGCTTTTTCCTTGAGGACCCAAGCTCTGAATGCAGCAGGTAAGTGGAGGAGGGGAGAAGGGATTTTTTCCCCCAGATTGTGAAAGTGGCTTCACTTTGCTTTCTTTAAAATCTTGAATTATACTTCTTAGCTGAAGAAAAATCACCAAGTTCCTCTGTGCCCTGAAGGCATTTCCGTGAAATGGTGCATCATAGATTTAACAACGTATCTTTAGAAGAGATTGTACAAACCAGAGAGAAAGGTACCCAAAAGCCAGGAGGCAACTCTGTGCTGGAGACGACCCGCAGAGCTGCCTGTCCTCCCTGAGCCTGGGAATAACAAACCATCCCTGCCCTCATTTGGGGCTGGGGAAACATCGTTTCCCCGTGATAGCATTGCCCCAAGTTTGGTGCTACAGTAAATAGAAGGAGCTCCTTAAGCCTGGCAGCACCAGGCAGGTTTTCCTATCCGTCCATCCGGCACCCACTGCCCCCATGGGACATGCTGCCTGCCCCGTTCCTGGATCTAAGAACCTAAAGATATTTGTGGTCTTCAAGCCTGAACTGGTTTTCACCCACAGAAATCTGTATCACTGCCTTGCTCCTGATCTTTTTCCATGCCCTCATCCTTCTTTTCATCCACAAGGTTTTCCAGAGGGACCATACGCAGTTCCCTTCCACATCACTGGTGCAGATGTGATGCAGTCCAGGTCCGTGAGCTGGTCTCTGTGAAGCTCTCCAGAGCTGCATCCCTCCAGGGATGCTTCCGTGCTCACAAGAATCATTAGAAAACCACCAGCTAGTTCATTTTTACATGCATGTAGCACATACTCAGGTCAAGTTTGTATCTTTTTAATTCCTTGACAGCTGCCTCTTTGCTTGGGTTTGATCTCTGAGGGCATTAACCCCTGCAGCCCCGAAGCGATTTGCTTCTAGGCTGTGACTCTGGAATAGGTGAAGGCAATTTTGACAGAACTTCTCCCTCCTTCATCTTTCAGTGTGAGCAATAGCTGTTGCTTTTAACAGACTGACTCATACCCCGTCACTGATAGCACTTGTCAGCCTCTGCTGAGCCCCTGAGAACCTTCCTGCCTGCTCCATGCTGAGCTGCAGGGGTGCAGAGGTGGGAATCCCTTCCCAATGGTCGGTCGCTCACAACCCAAAATTTGGCAGTTCCCCAGGGCCCAAAATCCTGTAACCCAGTCCTGAAAACCACTTGTGGCCTCTGTGATTCAGCTTCTCCACATTCACTAGCACCTTGCGGATGCAGCTGCTGTGCCCTAGCTCTAACAGCAGTTTTATGGGTTTAATATTTGTAGGTTATGAAGCACCAGAGGACAGAGAGCTGTCTATCACAGATTTGGGTAAAAGGATCACTTCATCCCAGCTTTGTTTATTAAATATGCTGAGCCTCAGAGGTCTTTTCTGTTCATAGGAATAAATGAGCTGCCCAGCAAGGCTGAGTGAGGGGCATGAGCTGCATGAGCAGCACGGGGAGATACTGAAGCTGGTGCTGAACTTCCCCAGCATCCAGCCTGGGCGCAGTGCTGTTAACCCAGCCACACAACCACCCCTGCCCAGAAACAGCCCTGCCACAGACAGCACCCAGGGACACGGCCATTCCCATCTGGGAACCTGCAGGAAAATGAAGACCTCTCCTTCTTCCTGATGTTTTGGGCGGTGGATGATGCCAGGTATTCACAGGGGATGGCAGCTCGAGGAGACGCCGGTGGAGAAGGAAAAGCAGAAATATGTTAAAGGAACCTAACATGAAATGTTAGTTAAAAGAATCAATGTCTTTGGCCATCAAAATATTTGGATTTCAGTCCAGCTGGAAGAAGATATTTTACGCAAGTGTCAAAAAATCTTTGCTCTCAGCTGGTAGGCCTCGTCTTTAATACACGCCACGGTCACATCCTGAGCGCTACAGCTGCTGAAGGAGTCTATAACGGGCAAAGTTAACCAGCCTTCAGGGCAAACCTCACTGTGTGGACAACTCAGGATATCTCACCCAGGTGTGTGTGTTGGGCATAGACAGCCCCCCTCAGACCCAGCCTTGCGATGGGAACACAGATTAGCTCAGGGACTTGGGCAGGAGGAGCTGCTTCAGCCAGGTGATTTAATGCTGTTGTTACTGCTCTGCTAAAAGCTACTGAATTGTCAGTGCCACAAAGCAGAGCGTCAAGGGAAATAATTATCCGCCACAACCCTACACAATGTTCCAGGTTTGAACCAAACCAAAAACTTTCTCCAGTCTCTGCGGGAGTTTGTTTTATTTTTGTTTCCTGACCCCACAAAGCTAATTCCTGAAATGGGTTTGAGGAAGCAGATGAACCCCAAGCTCCTCCTTAGGACATTTATGCAGGGTTAGTGCCTTCCCCCCTCCCATGCGCAGTGCCACCACGCCAGCAGCTCACCCGCCCGTGTTTCGCCATCAGCGATGTGCCAGGAATCAGGTCTTTGCGCATCTGGAATGGCTGCTCCGCTGCTGGGCACAACTCAGGGCTTGCAGGATTGTTAACAGACAGGCATCAGATTTGGGGCTCCGTGGGGCTGCGCAGCCATGAGATGCTGCTGAATGCCACACCTAGTGCCTCAATGCATCAAATTAAGGTGAGGAAAGGGGAAACATCATCTTGCGCTTTAAGGAGAAGACGAAGTCGGAATCTGGGTCTCATTTTCAGCTCTGCTCCTGCTCAGCTGAGAGATTTCAATCTCGAGGAAGGCTGCGAATCCCAATGAAAAGCAGAAAAAGCCAAGGATGTGGCTGTCCCGCGAGCGCCTGTCCCCTCAGAGCTGAAATTAGTAAGATGCAGAGACTTGTCTTTCAGTGCTTGGGAGGCATTTCTCTGTAGCTCTTTCGGTGTATCCCTAAAACTTGTGGGAGCTTTTATTGCGGTGAAATTGTGCTTGGAAGTGGGGCACCTTGTCTGGCATGGACCTGAGCAGGAACAATGCACCTTCAGAGCGGGTGGCTTTGGCCAAGGCATGGCCGTATCCTGGGGACAGTGGGGTCTTCTCCCCCTCCAGCTCCCAGCCAGTCCATCCACTCGTTAGAGGACAGGATTTACAGGACAGAGAATCCTCAACCCTCTGTAAAGAGGAGGGAGGAAGGCAAATAGGAGAGGAAGGGCAGACATTTGGGAAAAGATGCCCCTTTTCCCCCTATTTGAAATAAACCTCGTTTTCCATGCACTCATGAAAAGCAGGCACTAACGACTGTATTTCTGAGGCCTCAGCTGTCTCTGCCACAGTCTGCATCTGGAGGACCCCCAGCATTGGTACGATACAGCAGCAGTCTGATGAACTGCTGGGAGCCCGTCTGCGTCAGAGTTGCTCCAGAGCAGCAGAGTGTGCAAACTCTTGAATTCTGTGAGCAAATACACATGCCCACATTCCTTCTCCTTCCCATAAACACATGCAAGAAGATTAAATTTTGCCATTACTCATCTCGTGATATGTGCTGCTTCACAGCTACCTGCAAGTGCCATGCAGCAGCACGGGCCGGTTTCTGACCACCCAGTCCTGGGTGTTTCCTGGTGGTATCCACCACGGCCGGCGCAGCCCGGGGACTTGTCAGCACTGACAGATTCCCATCTGTTGAAATAACTGTGTGTCAACCACAAGTGAGGAATATGCAAGAATAGGGTATTTTTTTCAGCTTGGAGAAGGGCCAAGGCAGATGGGAGCGGTAGCGGGACCGGGGGGCCAACTTCAGAGAGGAATAATGCATCACAGCTCTGCTGATGGCACGGGATAGAGCAACCAGGATGCTGCACCCGTAATAACCTGGCTGTGCTCTTGCCAGAGGACAGCCATGCTGATTATTATCGATAATTGTAGTAATGCAATTACTACATCTAACGACCTGGATGAAGAGTTAGAATGTACCCTCAGCAAGTTTGCTGACGACACCAAACTGGGAGGTGTGGTAGATACACCAGAAGGCTGTGCTGCCATTCAGCGTGACCTGGATAGGCTGGAGAGCTGAGCAGAGAGGAACCTGATGAGGTTCAACAAGGGCAAGTGCAGGGTCCTGCACCTGGGGAGGAACAACCTCATGCACCAGTACAGGCTTGGGGTGGACCTGCTGGAGAGCAGCTCTGCGGAGAGGGACCTGGGTGTCCTGGTGGACGACAGGTTAACTATGAGCCAGCAGTGTGCCCTGGCTGCCAAGAAAGCCAATGGGATCCTGGGGTGCATCAAGAAGAGTGTGGCCAGCAGGACAAGGGAGGTTCTCCTTCCCCTCTACACTACCCTGGTGAGGCCTCATCTGGAGTACTGTGTCCAGTTCTGGGCTCCCCAGTTCAAGAAGGATGAAGAGCTACTGGAGAGAGTCCAGCGGAGGGCTACAAGGATGGTGAGGGGACTGGAACATCTCCACTACGAGGAGAGGCTGAGGGAGCTGGGCTTGTTCAGCCTGAAGAAGAGAAGGCTGCAAGGGGACCTTATAAATGCCTACAAATATCTGAAGGGTGGGTGTCAGGAGGATGGGGCCAAGCTCTTTTCAGTGGTGCCCAGTGACAGGACAAGGGGCAATGGGCACAAACTGAGGCACAGGAAGTTCCGTCTAAACATGAGGAAGAACTTCTTCCCTCTGAGGGTGACGGAGCACTGGAACAGGCTGCCCAGGGAGGTTGTGGAGTCTCCTTCTCTAGAGATATTCAAGACCCGCCTGGA